CCTAAAAGTGGATTTTTGGACTACAAAATTGTGTGTGATCTGTCATTTTCAAAATGTGGCCTAAAGGGATTACTGTATATACAGTATTTCAGCATATACATTCCTTCATTTTAACAGTGAAACATTATTACTTTATTTTGGGGTTTTCCCCAAAAAAAACCTGCATGAGGTAAATGTTTTAGCAAATGAGGCTTCCTGAAATTAAAATCATGCCCATGCAGTCTATGCCATATTCCTTCCATGGAAAGAATGTACTTTAAAAAAAAAACAAAAACACTTTTTAGAGCTAAATGGAGATCTGGTTTAGCCAATGAGATCTAAAAATTGTTGACATACTTTGCATGCTGTGTGTGGCATATTACTTCTATTGTAATTTGAAAAATATTAATTTTGCTTATTTTTTGTCTGAAGCAAAGTAAAATGTGGATGTGGTTTAGCCAGTGTGGTGTACAAGATGTCATACAAACACTACAGTGCCTTGAAAAAATATTCATACCCCTTGAAACTTTCCACATTTTGTCATGTTACGACAAAAACGTAAGTGTATGTATTGGGATTTTACGTGATAGACCAATATAAAGTGGCACAGAATTGTGAAGTGGAAGGAAAATGAGAAATGGTTTTAAAAAATTTTTTACAAATAAATATCTGAAAATATCTGAAAAGTGTGGCGTGCATTTGTATTCAGCCCCCCTGAGTCAATACTTTGTAGAAACAACTTTTGCTGCAATTACAGCTGCAAGTCTTTTTGGGTATGCCTGTACCAGCTTTGCACATCTAGAGAGGGAAATTTGTGCCCGTTCTTCTTTGCAAAATAGCTCAAGCTTTGTCTGATTGGATGGAGAGCAACTGTGAACAGAAGTTTTCAAGTCTTGCCACAGATTCTCAATTGGATTTAGGTCTGGAATTTGATTGGGCCATTCTAACACATGAATATGCTTTGCTCTGAACCATTCCATTGTAGCTCTGGCTGTATGTTTAGGGTCGTTGTCCTACTGGAAGGTGAACCTCCATCCCAGTCTCAAGTCTTTTGCATACTCTAACAGGTTTTCTTCTAAGATTGCCCTGTATTTGGCTTCATTCATCTTCCCATCAACTCTGACCAGCTTCCCTGTCCCTGCTGAAGCACAACATGATGCTGCCACCACCATTTTTCCCGGAGGGGATGGTGTGTTCAGGGTGATGTGCAGTGTTAGTTTTCGGCTACAAATAGTGTTTTGTTTTTAGGCCAAAAAGTAAAATTTTGGTCTCATCTGACCAGAGCACTTTCTTCCACATGTTTGCTGTGTCCCCCACATGGCTTCTCGCATACTGAAATCGGGACTTCTTATGGCTTTCTTTCAACAATGACTTTCTTCTTGCCACTCTTCCATAAAGGCAAGATTTGTGGAGTGCTGTGGATCTCTGCAGCTCCTCCAAAGTTACCATTGGCCTCTTGGCTGCTTCTCTGATTAATGCTTTCCTTGCCCAGTCTGTCAGTTTAGGTGGGCGGTCATGTCTTGGTAGGTTTGCAATTGTGCCATACTCTTTCTATTTTTGAATGATGGATTGAATAGTGTTCCGTGAGATGTTTATAGCTTGCAATATTTTTTCTATAACCTAACCTTGCTTTAAACTTCTCCACAATTTTATCCTTGACCTGTCTGGTGTGTTCCTTGGCCTTCATGATGTTGTTTGTTCACTAATGTTCTCTAACACACCTCTGAGGGCTTCAGAGAACAGCTGTATTTATACTGAGATTAAATTACCTACAGGTGGACTTGATTTTCTAATTAGGTGAGTTCTGAAGGCAATTGGTTCCACTAGATTTTAGTTAGGGGTATCAGAGTAAAGGGGGCTGAATACAAATGCATGCCACACTTTTCATTTTTATTGTATTTGTAAAAATTTTGAAAACCATTTATTATTTTCTTTCCACTTCACAGTTACTGTATGTACCGCTTTGTGTTGGTCAGTCACAAAATTCAAATAAAATACATTTACATTTTTTACTAAATTTTGAAAATTTCTAGGGGTATGAATACTTTTTCAAGGCACTGTACTTATATTTGTGTGTGTGGCATATTGCTTCTATTTGAATATAAAAAATATACATCTTTTTCCTTCAAGGCTTCTCTTAGATGTGGTTTGGGCCAAAGAGGTCTACTATAATTGAAGAAATATTGTGTTTAGTGTGTGTAAAATATTACTTCTATTTTAATGTGAAATTGTTAATGTTACTTCAAAGTTAAACTGAGATGTGGTTTAGGCTTTGAGGCCTACAAGATGTAGAAATATTATTTATGCTGTTACATACTACTTCTCTTTCAATTATAAAAATGTAAACTTTGATTTGTTTTATGTTCTCCCAAACTATATGGGGATGTTGTTCAGTCAATAATCCCTTGCATAAATAGTAGAAATAATAGCTATGCAATGTGCAAAATATTCCTTTTTTTATAGTATAAAAAATAAACTTTATATTTGGCCAGAACAGCTGCATGCATTAAGTCATTTTTTAAATGCAGTCTATTCTAACTGCTAAAATGTTGTCTATGCAGTCTGTACAATGTTTTTCTTTTTTCTTTGACATATTTATACACTTAGATGTTGGGTTCTTGAATGAAAAGCTGCATGCTGTGTGTCTTTAAAATGTGTTCTCCTCCAACTGCTTCAATGTTGAATATGGAGTCTGTACAGTATTTGTGTCCTTTGTCTCAGAAGCAATAAACTTTAAATTACACTCTACTTTTCAGTAACTTTAAGTTACTGGCTCTACTCGAGGGACTGACTGCATCTAAATAGGGTTGGTGCAGCTCTGTTGGAGGAAAAAGGATTAGAAGACAATTTTAAACTAGGATTTGGAGGGAAGGAATCAGAAATGAATATGCCATATTGGGAGCAAGGGTCTTTGGGAATTGGGATGTAGAGGAGGGTGGAATAGAGAAGGTACCAAGATGTAAAGTAGATGACAGAGAAATTGCTTTACCTTAATCCAATACAAAAAGAGCAGTGCATCAAGGATTAAGTTACAGTTCAAAAACGAGTAATAATAGAATATTAAACACTAATAAAAATTTAAAAGGTTCAAAATTGCGAGAAGTGTGGCAACCAAAATTGATGAATTAGAACTTCTGTTATTTGAGGAGTACTTTTCTGCGAATATCAGAAACCTGGTTGGACAGCTCACATAACTGGTCAGCAAATATTGAGTGGTACACTCTATTTCAGAAGAACAGAATTGGAAGAATATTTGGAGGGTATGTATGTGAAGAATGAGTTTGAGATATGATATTGTAAACAAGAACTCTGACAGTGCAGGGTCATTAAGGCTGGAGCTCCATAGGAGCGCAGTAAATAGTAAATTACATGTGGGATTACATTAGAGACCCCCTAACAAAGGATGAGGAACAGTCTCAGCTCCTTTTCACAGACTGAAATGGCTGGGAAGCAGAGTGCTATTATGGGAGATTTTCCTGATAAATGGAACAGCACAGTCAACAAAGGCTTGCCCTTTCTTAAACTTATACATGTTTAATGGAGGAGCTCAGTTATGAGGAAAGATTAGAGGAACTGAATTTATTCTCTCTTGAGAAGAGGAGATTAAGGGGGATATGATCAACATGTATAAATACATCAGTGGTTCATATAATGAACTTGGTGTAGAGTTATTCACCCTGAGGTCATCACAGAGGACAAGGGGCACTCTTTATGTATGGAGGAAAAGAGATTTAATCTCCAAATACAGAAAGGTTTCCTCACAGTAAGAGCTGTGAAAATGTGGAATAGACTCCTTCAAGAGTTGTTCTGGCCAGCTCAGTGGATTGCATTAAAAAAGGCCTGGATTCTTTCCTAGATACACATAATATAAGTGGATACTAACATTTATAGGTGAAGTTGATCCAGGGAATATCCAATTGCCTCTTGGGCGATCAGGAAGGAATGATTTCCCCTGCAGGAGCAAACTGGATCATGCTTTGCTGGGTTTTTTTTTGCCTTCCTCTGGATCAACTGTGGGTATAGGAGGATTATAACTTTTTTTTTTATGGTTGAACTGGATGGACTTTTGTCTTTTTTTTCAGCAGACTAACTATGTAACTTTGTAAACGTATTGCAGGACAATTTCATGGAAATGTTGGAAGCCCAAGCAAGGAAAAATGCTTTGTTGGGTCTATTAATTTTAAACAACACGGAGCTTATTACAGATGTGCATATTAGAGACAACTTGGGAAATAGTGATCATGGTGTAATCACATTTGTTATAAGTTACAGGAAGGAGAAGTATGGTGGTATGACAATAATTAAATGACTAAATTAAAAAAAAGATAACTTCAAAAACCTACAATCCTTACTGCATGACACTCAATAGGAACTACTTGCAGCTAAGCGCAAACAAGGCAAGTTGGTATGTTTTAAAGATGGATTAACCACTTGCCTACCAGGCACTTATACCCCCTTCCTTACCAGGCCAATTTTCAGCTTTCAGCGCTGCCGCACTTTGACTGACAATTGCGCGGTCATGCAACATTGTACCCATATGAAATTTTGATCATTTTTTTTCTCACAAATAGAGCTTTCTTTTGGTGGTATTTAATCGCCACTGAGCGCTTTACTTTTTGCGCTATAAATTAAAAAAAGTGCAAAAAATTTGAAAAAAAAAAAAAAGTTTATTTGTTTCTTTTATAAAATTTTTCAAACAGGTATTTTTTCTCCTTCACTGATTTGCGTTGATGAGGCGGCACTGATGGGCACTGATAGGCGGCACTGATGGGCACTGATAGGCAGCACTAAAGGGCACTGATAGGCAGTACTAATGAGGTGGCACGGATAGGCGGCACTGATAGACAGCACTAATTAGGGGTCACGGATAGGCGGCACTGATATGCAGCACTGATAGGCGGCACTGATAGGTGACACTGATGATGGGTACTGATAGACGGCACTGACTGGCATCACTTCTGGGCACTGACTGGCGGCACTGACTGGCACAACCCCTGGGCACTGACTGGTGGCACTGACTGGCAGCACTGCTGGGCTGCACTGGTGGGTGGCACTGGTGGGTGGGCACAGGTGGGTGGCACTGGTGGGCACAGGTGGGTGGTACTGGTGGGCACAGGTGGGTGGGCACAGGTGGGTGGCACTGCTGGGCACATGTAGGTGGCACTTCTGGGCACAGGTAGGTGGCACTGCAGAGTGGCACAGGTGGGTGCACTGCTGGGCACAGGTGGGGGCACTGCTGGGCACAGGTGGGGGCACTGCTGGGAACGGGTGGGCGGGGCTAGTGGGCGCACTGCTGGGCGGAACTTGCGGGTGTCACTGCTGGGCACTGATCATCAGGGCACTGATCATCAGTGCCCTGATGATCGGTGCCGATCCCCGCTCTGACAACTGCCAGTTCTCGGCAGTACTTTCCTCATGATCTGACAGCGTGAGGAAAGTGCAGCCGAGAACCGGCACTTGCATTTCCCTGTGATCAGCGTGTCATTGGACACCGCTGATCACGTGGTAAAAGGCCGGTGGGATCGGCCTTTCACCACATCACGTGATTAGCTGTGTTTCCGTAGGACACAGCGATCACGGAGATCGCCGGGTGCGCGCCCCCTGGGGCGCGCAGGAGAGCGCGTTCTGGGAGGACGTCATATGACGTCCACTCAGAACTGGCCGGCCGCGGTGAAGCCGTCATTCGGCTATGCGCGGTCGGCAAGAGGTTAAACAAGTGCCTTAGTCATTGAGGGTTATTTATTAAAACTGGTGAGTGCAAATTCTGCATATAAACCAATCAGCTTCCAGGCTTTATTACCAAAGTTTAATTGAACAAGTAGAAGTTGGAAGCTCAGGAGTGCGCATGCGCGGCCGGCGAGACGGACATGTCTCCCTGAGGCTCCATCATACTGCAGGGAAGACAGCCGCCCGAGCACAGATCCCGGCTCGCAATGTCACATAAGCGGCTCTGGTCTCCATGGCAACCCCCCTGACACACACCAGCATGGTCAGGGGAGCGCCCCGACATCAAGCTCCGCCACCCAGCAAGCCCATCAAGGAGGCCCTCCAAGATGGGCATCGCACCCTCTCCTGGCAGCAAGAAAGCTGCACAGACATATGCAGCCCTGCAGACAGCACAGCCTAGCCATTCCTACACATCTGAGGGTGAGTCAGATATTGACCCAGAGACCCCTACACACGCCTCTACTCCTGACCTTACATCTCCGACCTTCTCATGCGCTTTGAAAAAATGCTACACAAAGCCCTGAAACAGACCTCTGACCGCATCACAGACAAGCTGTCCAGAGAAATCCACGAACTAGGGCAAGGTACTGCTGACCTGGAACAGAGAGTGGATGACCTCGACGCCTCATTTCAGACACATGCAGATGACCTTGACCTTCTAAGAGCCAAAAATGTGACACTGCAAACGCGTCTAGAGGACTTTGAAAATCGGGGTAGGCGCTCAAATGTGCAAATCCGTGGCCTCCCTGAGTCGGTCATCGATGTTCAATCAACTGTCACAGCGTTGATTCAAGAGCTCGCCCCTGCTATTCTAATAGAACACCTGGAAATGGACAGGGTTCATAGGGCACTAGCTCCACAATGCACCGATGGCCCACCACGCAATATTATAGCCAATCTAAAGAGCAACTCCTACAAGCAGCCCGCAATGCAGAATCTCACACGTTCCAAGGTCACACCTACCAACTGTCTCAAGACCTCTGCCCTACTGCCATCACCAAACGCAGGGCTATGAAACCCCATCTACAGGCGCTCCAACAACATGGCATTCCATATAAATGGAGCTTCCCCTTCGCAGTGCGTTTACGTTACCAGGCCCGAGACTACATCTGCAAGACCCCTGACGAACTACTGGACACCTGCTGAACCTCTAGCTACATCCACCAACAACACCATCAGAAGGCTCCAGGCAGTGATCAGCATCCTGCTCACTGCAGAAATCTCACCCTCCACACCTCGCCAATGGTCAACTCAACACCCAAAAACGAGGACGTTTTTCATCACCTGCTCTGTCTCCACAAGATTCCATGGACTAAGTCTCACCAACCAACTTCTACCCTACCGTCTACACAAAACAACGTGGAACTTTGTCATCATGGTAGTTGACACCCATGGTGTCTGTTCTCCTCACCTCTCACGCAGATGCAGACGTTAAGCATCCGTATCCTTATGTTAGCCCTCAGGGCCCATATTGTCGTTTTTTGTTCTTTTTCAGTTTTCTTCTTTTTTTCTTTCTTTTTTCTCAATGTATTTCCATATATTGGGAAAACTCTTTCTTGTTTTTCCCGCAAGTGAAAAGTCATCTTAGCTCTTCTCTCTCCTATATCGTTGAGAGCTTGTTGTGCCTTACATGCTACTTGTTGAACTATTTCTTAAACGGTTATGTTTGAATATATGTAGGGGGACCTCGGTTCTGGCGGCACGGGAGATCACATTCTCTCATCTCTACTGGCCTACCTAGATGGCCAATGCTGCCCGAACCTAGGACCTCCTGACTCCTCCGAGAACCAACTTTAATGTTTTTTTCTTTCCCAGGATTTCATCACCATACATTTGTCCATATGCCGTCTTCCCCGCGGCCCGCGTACCTGCGCACCCACCACTAGCCCATATAGTATTGCATTTTTTTATACTACTTGGGCTACTACTGTTCCCTAGACCACCCTACTTTTGGGTGACTCCGGGACCATCTCCTTGGCCTACCATGGCCCTCTACATCCCCCTCCTGACACCTTTCCCTAACTCTATCCTTCCCCGCTCCCCCCTACATGACTCCAAAACTCTGTTTAGCTTCTTATGCCACCCAACTGCTTTGTACCGTGACTACCATATTCCCTTCCAGCTGGTAATACCCTACTATCTGGTTCGCTACACACTCTCCCCATAGGTTCTTTAAATATTCTCACCCTGAATGTTCAGGGCCTTAACATACCTGTCAGGAATCTAGGAATGACCAGAAAGGCATGGACTGACACAGGGAAACGCAGGTCTCAGGTACAGTATAATACAGTTTATTATTAGCCACCCAGATATATATATATATAAACGTACAGTGAACAAACCAACCTTCCAACGAAGCAGGAACACAGGCGTAGTCAGGGCTGGAGAGGTGGAACGGTCAGGCCGGCCGTAGGGTTCTGTAATGACCGTTTGGTGGTACCTCTGTGATGGATTTGGTAAAATGCCTATTCTGTTTTCTGTTTAAAATATACATTTTATACATATTTACTTTTATACTTTTTTATATTTCTAAATATATGTGTTGTGAGTATATATATATATATATATTTTGTCTGCTGGGCTTTGCAGTCCTCCTTAACTTGTTTTGCTCAGAGCGATGCTCTCAACCCCTCCCTTCGCACTGAAAGGACCTTTTACTTAGACTTTGGGAATGTGAAGGGGAGTGAACAGAGATAACGGGATGAGAAGCAAGCATCAAGTTTCTACATTTCTCCTATATTTCAACCAAGCAAAATGTGCCTTTGAGAATGTGACTGTATATACGTAATAGTGACGTATACTCTATTGTTTTCTATGTATAAAAGGTTAAGCACTGCCCTGCAATAAACAGAGATGAGATGATGTGAAAGTGGTTGTACTGGACAGTTGTCCATGTAATTATTTTCCGGCGTGCACGCAATCCATATCTCAAAATTAGGAACAGCAGCAGAAATCCTACCTTGAGCCCGATTGTGGTTCTCCCAACCTTTTTACCTCTAGTGGTCCCCAGGACAGGATTCCCCAGGGCGCGGAGTCTAAGTCCCAGTCTGCTATTCACCAGGGCCCCTGATGGTGGGGATGGACTTGGAGCAGACAGGAACCAGGTCGCGGCCCCTGAGTACACCTGCTAGTGGTAGAGGGATCCGCCAGAGGTATGTGCAGGTACGGCTGGATCCGTGCAGGATGGATGGATGGCAGAGTAGTTAGCGTGGTCAGACGGGCCAAGTCAGCAACGTGCGGGCAGCAAGGTATCAAAGGAGCAGGCAGAGAATGGTCAAGGTCACAAGCCGGGTTCAGTAACTCACGGGCAGCGCGGTACAGGGGATCAGGCAGAAGGATGGTCAGGCAAGCCAGGGGTTCAGCAGGAGACGGTCAGCAGAGGTCAGAATCAAGCCGGGTCAGCAACAAAGCAGGAACACAAAATACCAGGTACAGAGGCTCATGGGAAAACATACACCAAGGCCCAGAGCACAGGCCTGGTCATGCCTTATATACACCTTTCTGCAATCAGCCCCAGGTTTGGCTGATTGTGAGCTTCTGGCTGCTAAGAGCACCCGCTGGTCAGCTCCGGTACTGCAGCCCACACGGCAGGTGAGTCCCACCACCAGTGCTGAGAGCACCCGCTGGTCAGCTCTGGTACTGCAGCCCACACGGCAGGCGAGTCCCACCACCAGTGCTGAGTCCATTCCTGACAATACCACAGAAACGCAACAAGGCATTCTGCTCCTTTGCATCGCATAAAGCTCATATAGTCTGCCTTCAAGAGACATACTACACTCCTTCTTCTACTCCCAAATTCTTTGGCCCCGTTACCCGTAGGTCTACACAGCCTCCACCGCAACCAAACACAGAGGGGTACCCATCGCCTTTCATCGTACGATGCCCTTTACACTGCATAGCGAGATTAAAGATCCTGAAGGTTGTTATCTCCTGCTAACCGGGCAACTTTTGGAAGTAGAAGTCACCATCGCAACATACTACACCCCGAACCAAGGTCCCTTACCGTTTCTTTCTCACCTATTATCGGTCATTGACCACCATAAACGTGGTACACTATTAGTTTGCGGAGATTCAAACTGTACCTTGTACCCCTTCCTAGACAAGTCCCCTCAACCCCCCACCCCCCCCCCCCCCCACCCACCTCCAAACAAACCTTCCAAGCCATACAACAGTGTTATTCCACGATAGATACCTGGAGAGAACTTAGCCCGATAAAGCACCAATATACTTTCTTTTCTCACCCTCATAAGACATTCTCAAGAATAGACCACATCCTCATGACTGCTAGCTTTTCCCCCCCGACTATTGGCCTCTGAAATCCTTCAAATTCCCTGGTCAGATCACTGTGCTGTACTTACTTCCATTGTCTCTTTGGCTCCATCCCCCGATTCCTCCTGGATCATCACGACAACCTATTAGCAAACCCGACACATTGCTCGGGTACCGAAACTGCTTTAAAAAACTACCTATCTCTAAATCAAACCCCAGACATCTCCCCTCTCCTACTTTGGGAAGCACATAAACCTGTACTAAGTGGGTTCTGCATTAGCAAAACATCCTTTTTAAATAAAGAGAAAAGACAACAACGCCTTCTCCTTGAACAAACCTACAAGCAAT